GATGTGACGTATGAGTTGATGTTAACTTTTTTTGCATATGAATTTTTAGAAAATTTATAGATATATTTCTGTTATTGGTTTCTAATCTGATTCCACTATGGTAAGAGAACATACTTTGTATGGATTGAATCCTTTTAAATTTACTGAAACTGTTGTTATGACCTAACATATGCTGGTCTTTGCTTATAAGTGATCCATGAGCACTTGAAGAGCACTTGCCATCATTGGCTATAATGATTTACAAGTAGAAATTAATGAAATTAAATGAAAGTGATTAATAGCAGATCTTCTATTTTTCACTTTTTTTTTATCTAGTTGTTCTTGTTCCATCAAATTCTGAGAAAAGAGTGTTAACTCCTCCTACTATGATTATGTAGTAGGATTATGTATTATGTCCATTTCTGTTTTCATTCCTTTTTTCCTTTCTTTTAAAGAAATTGAATTTATTTATTTATTTGTTTTATTTTTATTATTAACATATAATGTATTAATATAAATGTATTATTTGTTTCGGGGGTACAGGTCTATGATTCATCAGTCTTACGCAACATCCAGCACTCACCACAACACATACCCTCCCCAATGTCCATCACCCAGCCACCCATCCCCCCACCTCCCCTCCAGCAACCCTCAGTTTGTTTCCTGGGATTGAGAATCTTATGGTTTGTCTGCCTCTCTGGTTTCATCTTGTTTCATTTTTTTCCTCTCTTCCCCTATGATCCTCTGCCTTGTTTCTTAAATTCCAAATATCAGTGAGATTATATGGTGATTGTCTTTCTCTGTCTAATTTTGCTTAGCATAATACCCTCTAGTTCCATCCACATTGTTGCAAATGGCAAGATTTCATTTTTTTTTTTTATGGCTGAGTAGTATTCCATTGTGTATATATATATATATATACCACATCTTCTTTATCCATTCATCTGTCGATGGACATCTGGGCTCTTTCCATAGTTTGGCTATTGTGGACATTGCTGCTATAAACATTGGGGTGCAGGTGCCCCTTCGGATCACTACATTTGTATCTTTGGGGTAAATACCCCATTTCTGTTTTAATTCTATCAATTTCCCCTTCTACTTTGAAGCTCTTAGGTGTATATATATATATATGTATATATATATAATTGTTATATCTTCTCAATTAATAGGCACCAGGGGTGCCTGGGTGGCTCAGTCGTTAAGTGTCTGCCTTCGGCTCAGGTCATGATCCCAGGGTCCTGAGATCAAGCCCTGCATCGGGCTCCCTGCTCAGCGGGAGGCCTGCTTCTCCCTCTCCCACTCCCCCTGCTTGTGTTCCCTCTCTCGCTGTGTCTCTCTCTGTCAAATAAATAAAATCTTTAAAAAAAAAAAAAAGCTGAGTGCCTGGGTGGCTCAGTTGGTTAAGCGACTGCCTTCGGCTCAGGTCATGATCCCAGAGTCCTGGGATCAAGTCCCACATCGGGCTTCCGGCTCAGCGGGAAGTCTGCTTCTCCCTCTGACCCTCTCCCCTCTCATGTGGTTTCTCTCTCTCTCTCTCTCAAATAAATAAATAAATAAATAAATAATATATTAAAAAAAAAAGCCAATAGATAACATTAACATTATGAAATGCCTCTTTTATCCCTGGCAAAATTCTGCTCTTCATCTGAGAGTCTGTTTTATCTGATATTAATATATGCATCCGAGCCTTCTTATTCTGACTATTTACACGGTATGTATTTTTCCATGTATTTACTTTCAATCTTTCTGTGTCTTTATATTTTAAAATATGACTCTATGTTCAAAATGTCTCTTACAGATAACATAAATTTAATCTTGGCTTAAAAAATCCATTTGATAATTTTTGACATGTTTAGTCCATTAACATTTAATATTATTAATATGATTAGATTTAGGTCTACTAATTTATTATTTGGCTTGTTCCCTCTGTTCACTATTTCTTTATTGTCTTTTTTTTCTGCCTTCTTCTGCATTATTTATAGTCTATATATTTTAGAATTCCTTTTTAATGTTATCCATTGGATTTTTAGTGATACGTCTTTGTGTTATATTTTTAGTTTTAAGGATTATAATATATATCCTTAATTTTTCAAAGTCTCACAGTTAATCTTAGAGTTAATAACTTAGAGTTAATCTTATACCCCTTCATACATATATAATCCTTACAATGATATAGGTCCGTCCATTTATGCTGCCACCATGCTTTATGTTGTAATTGTCGTGTGTATTACATCTACATACTAGCAAACCCTATAAGACAATGTTAAGAGAAGGGGGAAAAGATGGCAGAGGAGTAGGGGACCTTATTCCAACTGGTCCCTGGGGAATTGAGTTGGATATCTACCAGACCACTCTGAGCACCCATGAAATCAGCCTGAGATGTAAGAAGACCTGGATCTCTACAAACAGAATATTGCAGGTGGTTGGTTTCAAGGTAGGAAGCGGGGAGCCATGATTCTGCGGGCAGATATCGCAGGATAAACGGCAGCGGGAGGGTGCCTGGCCGTGGGGATCCTGCACCGCCGGTGAGCGACAGCCTCGCGCGCTGGGGACGGGGCACAGACTCGTAGACTGGTAGCAGCGGGGAAAGGACTTTAGGGCAGCCCCCGGGATGGAAACCCGGAGTGGCAGGCAGTTTTAGAAGCACAAAGGGCAGAGACGAGCCCCGACCTGGAGGCAGGACTGGGAGCGCTGCGGAGGGGCGCACTACCCAGGACACTGCAGTTTATAGCAGCACAGACAGAAACAGAGATAGTGTGGCCTGGAGAGCTCACTGAAGAACAGACTGAGGTCTCTCTGCTCTGAGGCAGAGGGTTGGAAACAGTCTCTTCTGCTCTGACTCGCGGAAGACACGCAGAAAGCCACCAGGGAAAGGCGCCAGAGAAGCAAACTATAGAGACTCAGGAATATTTTGCTTGTTTAAACTAAATTGTGTCTACAATAAGTGAGAAATTAAAAAAAAAACACCCAGATTTAAAAAAAATATTTTATTTATTTATTTGAGAGAGAGAGAGAGAACAAGTGGGGTGAGGGGCAGAGGGAGAAGCAGACACCCCACTGAGTAAGGAGCCCAATGCGGGGCTCGATCCTGAGACTCTGGGATTGTGACCTGAGCCGAAGGTAGATGCTTAACTGACTGAGCCACCCAGGGGCCCCACCCAGATTTTCATATACTCTTGAAACCTGACTTTTTACACGACAACACTAAGTGGGAGCTGAGTGGCAGCTCCCCACTTATTCTAGGCAAGTATCACTCAATCTGCTGTGTGGTTTGCCATGGTCCCCATTGCTGCCTATTGATCTCCAAGAAGGTCCCTGGAATGCTTCCCTTTCTTTCTTTCTTTCTTTCTTTCTTTCTTTCTTTCTTTCTTTCTTTCTTTCTTTCTTTCTTTTTCTTTCTTCTTTCTTCTCTCTTTCTCTTTTCTCTTTCTTTCTTTTCTCTCTTACTTTTCTTTCTTTCTTTCTTTCTTTCTTTCTTTTTCTTCTCTCTTTCTATCTTTCTTCTCTTTCTCTTTTCTTTCTTTCTTTCTTTTCTCTCTTACCTTTCTTTCTTTCTTTCTTCTCTCTCTCTTTCTTCTCTCTTTCTCTTTTCTCTTTCTTTCTTTCTTTTCTCTCTTACTTTTCTTTCTTTCTTTCTTTTCTCTCTTACTTTCTTCTTTCTTTCTTTCTTTCTTTCTTTCTTTCTTCTCTCTCTATCTTTCTTCTCTCTTTCTCTTTTCTCTTTCTTTCTTCTTTCTTTCTTTCTTTCTTTTCTCTCTTACCTTTCTTTCTTTCTTTCTTTCCTTCCTTCCTTCCTTCCTTCCTTCCTTCCTTCCTTCCTTCCTTCCTTCCTTCCTTCCTGCACAGACCTTGTAGTAGAGTGTGTTATAGAATTGTCTGGAAACATACTGGTGCTTTTTTTTTAATGTTGCAGAATTATTCATTCCAGGTGCAAAAATACAGATACTACTGTAATAGTCAGGAAATGTGGGCTTTACATAGTTCCACCTCAACCTCTAAATAAAGGAAAATGAAGTCAAGTTCCCTGTGAGTGAAGACTGGTTCCTTTTAGTAACCGTGGTAGCTCCTTTTTGCCACTGCTGGTATTAATTGTAAACACCTGGCAAATAAGCTGCCTGGTTTGCTTGTATTTACACAGCAGTTAAAAAGAGAACTTAGAGCATATTTGGTCCAAGGACTATGGAAAGAGCTCAATGATCAAATCACCCAAGTTTGCTCAGTGATTTTTTTCTTTCTTGGTCAGACACATTTATTTCAGTTGGATGGGATATTTCTGCTGAAAGCTCTCCAGGTCATCAGGGTTGATAGGAGGCAGGTGTCACTTTTCTAAACCACAGAATTGTTCCAGTTGGACGGAGTCAAGTCCCTTGGAAGCTGGGCAGTTGCCACCTTTCTTGCAGATTCAGCTCCTTCCTGAGCTGTGCCTCCAGGTAAGGGTTGGTACCAGGCTTTGCAAACATTGGGTTTGGTAGCCTCAGCTCCATGTAACTAGGATACCAAGGGCATACACATGAGCCTGAGCAACTGCTTCCTTATAAATGAAACAGAAAATGAGGTTTTTGAAAACTCCAAACAAAAATTTACTATATTATTAAATCAGAGATGAAAAACACATAGGAACGATTATAAACAAAGAAACCTAGGTAGATGGTTCGTTCAATCTGTTTCAGTTCCCTGATAACATTTTGCAACAGTAATCAAGGTTCTGCTCTGCTAAAGCTAGGCCACAGATTACCTTGTCTGCCAGGAGTTTGTTGGTTGGATTTACGACCATATTTTTCCACATATAAAGATCTCTAGAAACCTAATTTCTTCAGGGGTCTTCATCTCCTTACAAAAGTTTATGTACTGCTTCCCACATTTCTTTCATAAAAAGGGGGAGCACATTTTAAAACCGGGTTACTTTTAAAAGGTCTATATATGATATTTTTTCTTTTTCACTATACTAAGCTATATTTTATAAATAAAAATATGGCATGAGCTAAATACACTCATATTTCAACACAATAGAGTTTCTCTACAAGCAATGAAATTTAAGTATCCTTTCGAATGAATTCAGTTTCACATTGAATTCCCCTCTCTGAGCCACTATGTTTCTGAGAACTTATTACTTCTGGCAACAGAAGAAACTGGTCACTCTTACAGTAATTCACGCTGGACAGGTAGGGGAATAAAACCTGGTCTCTTCAAGTCAAGTGAAGCCAAATAATTAAGTTGGTCCCAAATGGCACTGTTTGCTGCTTTAACCTCAAAGTCTTACTTCACAGCATTAAAAGGATGGTTCGAGAGTGTCAAAACTTGGCCATTTGCTTCAATTTCCATTTTATTTTGGCAGGATCTCCTTTGGCTGAATGAGTACAAAGTTGACTCTTGATTCAAGAAGAAAATGGGATAAAAGAAGAAGAAAGGGAAAATAAGCACATATTGGGGTAAGGGAGAAGGAAAGGAAACACTTACTGAGAACTGACTATAACCAGGCATTTTGTATATTTTATCCCATTTATATGTCATAAAACCTTGATAAGCAGGTATTGTATCCACACTGTTGATGAAAGCTATGAGACCCTGAGAGACTGGTGGGCTACTTCCCAAGCCCATATTCTTTCCATCACTACCTGGGGAATAAGTAAAAGTGAAAAAAACAGGTTTGATGGATTATGACCTGTCCACTTCAGGGATTTATTGGGAAATTGGTGCCAGGGAGGTGTGGGGTTTGAAGGGTTGGGGTGAGGACAACATGAGACATATCATTTTAAAAGGCTGAGAATCAAATGCGAGCTCCAAAGAGATTTGGCAAACCTCCTAAATGCTTAGGCTTATGTCTTGATGGTTTGGGAGTGTTTGGAAGGATTTTGTGGTTTCTTGATTTAGCCTGGTGATGGATTTAGCCTGGTGATTTAGTGGGTGATGGAGAAGGCGGTATGTTTTATCCATTGAGGAACAGGAAGTGGACAGGTGCCAGACATGATCTGACTTATGTGTTAAAAGAATGGCTCTGCGGGGTGCCTGGGTGGTGCAGGCAGTTAAGCGTATGACTCTTGGTTTCAGCTCAGGTCGTGATCTCAGGGTGGTGAGATCACGCTCCCTATCAGGCTCTGCGCTCAGCATGGGGTCTGCTTGAGATTCTCTCTCCCTCTCCCTGCCCCTCCCACTTGTATTCTCTTTCTCTCTCTCTCTCAAATAAATAAATAATTCTTTAAAAAAATAAAAAAGGAAAAGAAAAGAATGGTTCCATTTACTTTGTGGACAACAGAAAATAAGGGCTCAAAGCCAACCAGCCAGGGGTTAGGGTGGTGGCCTAGGTGAGGTAGGGTGGTGGCAAGAACCAGAGTGGTAGGTTGGAGAGAGTGAGGAGTGGTTGGGTTTATATTGTCTTTTGAAAGTAGAGCTAATATCTGGCTGATGGATTGGATGTCAGGTGTGAGACAAAGATGCAAAGTCAAGGATAATGCCAAGGTGTTTATTTGGCCTGAGAAATGGACTAAAACTGTGATGGGAGGATATCAATAAAAATATCAGAATCATTTTTAAAAAGGTAAAAAAAGAATTAAGTCCAGCTTGGCATATAATAACTTTGATAAATCTGTTAGTCATTTAAGTGAAAATTTTGGGAAGACAGTTGGATGAAAAGTCTGAAGATACTATATATGAGGTAGATATCTCTGTGGTATCTTGAGCAGCTGGTGTGGTTACTATCCGTTTGCTTGTTTAGTTGACTGAAGCCTTGACTCAGCAGTGGCCTAATTCAATGAAGCTGAGGTGCCATAACTTCCTTGGTATAATGGGGAAGAAGGAATCCAAAGACTTAGGGAGATGAAGGTTGGAATAAATTTTTCAGGTGTGACTCTCTCCCCTTCCACTATGTCCCCAAGAGGAACCAAAGCAGTGAAAAAAAAAATGCACTGACGAGTGAGACACCATAATTTTATAATGCTCTGTACTATCTGTCTCTTGCTAGCTGGGGATGAAGGTGGGGATGAAGTTGATAGGTGCCACCAATCCAGTGCACCCCCTCAGAGTGGCTGAGATCAAGCAGCAGCACTTAAGTGCCTGGGAAAACATGGGCCTAGCTCCTGAAATGGTCAATATGGGTGGAACAGCAATCTGAATGTTATGACTCTTTGTGGCTATTTGATCAGTGTCCTTGGGACTGGTAGATGGGCAGGCAACTAAAGCAGCAAATATAGTCAGAAACATTTGAGATCTAGACAATAGGCACTGAACTTGTGGCACCCCCATAGCATAGTGTCCTCTCACCCTGAACGCACTCAAGCCAATTCATTGACCTGGAGCCTCTTGAATGAGGGAGAGACTGAGTCTCCTTGAAGAAGATGCTGGGATGCTGTCACAATTACATAGTATAAACATTCCTCTGTAATTTCCCCCAAATGACCTGCATCCATATATCAGGATGATGGTGAATTGAGGAAAGAGAAATAACAATATCTTTAGGAATTGTAGTCAGTAAATCAGAATTAGTGCTAGTCCCTGGGAACCTGAATTGCATCCATAGTCTTTGAGAGTTAGGGCTTATGGAAGTTGGGTGACAAATGGAGTGTGGGTCTAAATCCTTCTTACAGTGGGCCGAGTAAGTCTGAATTTCCACGGGGTTCTTTCCCAAGTTCCTGAGAGCATGATTGCAATAGACCCACTGGGAACTGGCAAAATCACCATGTTGGCTCTCTGACTTGTGGCCTGAGGGCTGTTAAGGCAGGAAGATCCAAGCAGAAGCTGCTGGGACTTCCTCTCCTACCAGTGCCTGAGTGAATTGCAATAGCTAGAGCTACCACCAAAGACTTGAAAAATGCACGGACCGTGATTCCTTCTACATCCTCACTTAACTTGTGTGTTGGCCAGGCTGGAAGTCAGCAGGGGCTTGGAGAATGACTGTGCATTTTTGCAAACTTAATCAGAGGCGATTCCAACTGTAGCAACAAAATAGCTGGAGTAGGTGTCATGAGAGACTGAGTCTACCTGTTCATCCAACTTATTTATGCTTCAGAATCATTTCTACTCAATTTGGCATGTCCAGTGCTGTAAACTGGAATTCAGAGAATACCTGACTTGTAATGAGCAACTGTGATTAAATTGTACCTTGGGCTCCAGGGTTGGGCATTCAGTCTCAGCCAGGCAGGAGCTGTTTCTCGAAGGAGAATAGACATTTAAAGAGGAGGACATGGCTTTGCTCCAAACCTTTAGGGTCTGTATTCCTACTGAGGCTTGCCAGAGAGTCCATGTAATGTCCTTATCTGCTGTAGACACTGTGAGCATCATGGGATCTTCCGGGTTATAAGGCCCAAGTGGTTGAGCATTTCACTAATTGGACTAATTGCAGAGGCTCTTCTTACTCTCAGCCTGATTCAAATCTGGCAATGCCATGGGTTTGTTGGTAAATGACTCAGGGTAACTGACGCACTTAAATGTGTTATGTGTGTAGCGTGATCTTACATTCCAGTTTGCCCAGGCCAGTTCCAGTCAGTTCTAAAGATAAAATCTCAATCAACACCGAGTCCTTCATGTTTTATTCCCCTGGACAACCACTTTCATTCTTACATTTATTTTTATTCTCCTGGAAAAATAATTTGGCTCTTTTTTTTTCTAGTTTTATTGAGAAAGAATTGACATACATCATTGTATAAGTTTGAGGTGTACAGCATGATGATTTGAGTTACGTAAACAGTGGTCCCCCTTATCCATGGAGGATATGTTCCAAGACCCCCAGTGGATGCCTGAAACTGGGGATAGTACTGACCCCTATATGTGCTATATTGTTTCCTATACATATATACCTATGATAAAGCTTAATTTATAAATTAGGCAAGTAAGAGATTATAATAATATTATTGTATAGTCATAATAATAATATAATAATAATAGAATAGAACAATTATAACAATATACCATAATAAAAGTTAGGTGAATATGGTCCCTCTCTCTCTCAAAATATCTTATTGTACTGTACTTACCCTTCTTCTTGTGATGATGTGAAATGATAAAATGCCTATGTGAGGAGATGAAATGAGAGGAATGACGTAGGCACCGTGACATAAATTTAGGCTACCGTTGACCTTCTCATGGTAAGTCAGGAGGAGGATCATCTGCCTCCAGACCACACAGTTGACCCCGAACAACTGAAACTGGGGAAGAGGGACCCCTGGACCGAGTACTTACCTCAGTTGAGTGCTGAGGACATGAATAAGTCATGGTCTCTCTCACCCCAGCAGAGAGTTTAGTGGAAGAAACAGACACACAAATGCCTGCAGTGGAGAAGAACATGTGTAGTGATGGAGTGTGTACAAAGCTCAGGGACACAGAGGCGGGCGTGAGGGACAGGAAGAGCTTCACTGATGGGGGTCGATGGAGCTGAGTGCTGAGGAGCTCTCTGGAAGATGAGAGTGAAAACTGTAGATAAGGGGGGAGTACCATATCATGAAATGATTACCACAGTAGGCTCAGCTAACATCCATCTTCTCATATAGATATAATAAAAATAACAGAAAGAAAAAATGGAAAACAATTTTCTCCCTGTGATGAGAACTCTCAGGATTTATTCTCCTAGCAACTTTTCCTGTGTATCACACAGTGGGGTTAGCTGTAGTCACCATGTGTCACATTACATCCCTAGTGCTTATTTATCTTATGACCAGAAGTGTGTACCTTTTAACCACCTTCCTCCAATTCCTCCTCCCCCTACCCTCCACCTCTGGTAACACAAGTCTACAGAAGTCTGATCTCTTTTTCTATAAGTTTTGTTTTTTGTTTCATTTTTATTCTACACATAAGTGAGATCATACAGTATTTGTCTTTCTCTATCTGATTTGTTTCACTTAGCAGAATGCCTTCAAGTTCCATCCATATTGTCACAAATGATAGGATTTCCTCATTTTTTATGTCTGAATAATATTCCATTGTATCTCTCTCTCTCTCTCTCTCTCTTTCTCCTTCTCCTTGTTCTGTTCAACCATTGATGGGCACTTAGGTTTTTTCTATATCTTGGCTATTGTAAATAATGTTGCTATGAGCATGGGGTGGGAGGTTCAGATAACTTTCCAAGTTAATGTTTTCATTTCCTTTGGTTATATTCCCAGAAGTAGAATTGCTGGGTCATATGGTAGCTCTATTTTTAATTTTTTGAACACCCTCCATACTGTTTTCCATGGTGGCTGCACCAATTTACAATCCCAGCAAATGTGCACAAGGGTTCCCTTTTCTCCACATCCTCACCAGCATCTGTTATCTCTTATCTTTTTGATAATGGCCATTCTAGGAGGTGTGAGGTGGTATTTCATTGTGGTTTTAATTTGTATTTCCCTGATGATTAGTGATGTTGGGCATCTTTTCATGTACCTGTTGTCCTTTCATATCTCTTCTTTGGAGAAATGATCTATCAGTTCCTTTGCTCATTTTTTAATTGGGTTATTATTATTATTTGCTATTGAGTTGTATGAGTTCTTTATATATTTTGGATATAAACCCCTTATCAGATGTATGATTTACAAATATACTTTCCCATTCCATAGGTTGTCTTTTCACTTTGTTGATGGTTTCTTTTGCTGCGTGGAAGCTTTTTAGTTTGATGAAGTCTCATTTGTTTATTTTTTATTTTGTTGCTTATGCTTTTAAGTGTCATATCCAAAAAATTCTTACCAAGACCCATGTCAAGGAGCTTTGTTCCTATGTTTTCTTCTAGAAGTTCTTCATGGTTTCAGGTCTTATATTTAAGTCTTTTTTTTTTTTTTTAAGATTTTATTTATTCATTTGCGAGAGAGACAGAGAGAGAACAAGCAGGGGGAGAGGCAGAGGGAGAGGGAGAAGCAGACTCCCTGCTGAGCAAGGAGCCCGATGCGGGACTCGATCCCAGGACCCTGGGATCATGACCTGAGCCGAAGGCAGACGCTTAACCATCTGAGCCACCCAGGTGCCCTATATTTAAGTCTTTAATCCATTTTAACTTAATTTTTGTAATGGTATAAGATAATGGGCCCAGTTTCATTCTTTTACATGTGAATATTCAATTATCCCAGACCATTTATTTTTTTTTATTTTTTTTATTTTTTAAAGATTTTTAATTTATTTATCTGAGAGAGAGAATGGGAGACAGAGAGCATGAGAGGGGGAGGATCAGAGGGAGAAGAAGACTCCCCGCTGAGCAGAGAGTCCGATGCGGGACTCGATCCCGGGACTCCAGGATCATGACCTGAGCCGAAGGCAGTTGCTTAACCAACTGAGCCACCCAGGCGCCCCAATCCCAGACCACTTGTTGAAGAAACTTTTTCTTCCTTTGAGTATTCTTAACTCCCTTGTCAAATATTACCTGACTGCATAGGCTTAGGTTTCTTTCTGGGCTCTCAATTCTCTTCTCTTTGTCTATTTGTCTATTTTTATGCCAGTACTGTACTGGTTTGATGACTATAGCTTTATAGTAAAAACTTGAAATCAGGAAATGTGATGCCTCCTGCTTTGTTTTTTTCTTTTCTTTTCTTTTCTTTTTTCCTTAGGATTTCTATGGCTATCCAGGGTCTTTCATGGTTTCATGTAAATTTTAGGAGTGTTTTTTTCCACTTCTGTAGAAATGCCATTGGAATCTTGATAGGGATTACATTGAATCTATAGATGGTTTTGGTAGTATTGACATTTTAACAATATTAATTCTTTTAATCCATAGCATGGAAAACTTCTCCATTTATTTGTATCTTCTTTGATTTCTTTCATTAATGTCTTATAATTTTTAGAGTAGAAATCTTTCATCTCCTTAGTTAAATTAATTCCTAAGTATTTTATTGTTTTTGATGCTATTGTAAATGGGATTGATTTCTTTATTTGTTTCAGAAAATTTGTTATTAATGTACAGAAATGCTACTGATTTTTATGTTAATTTTATATCCTCCAACTTTACTGAATTCCTTGATTAGATCTAACAGGTTTTTTTGTTGTTGTTGTTTTGAGAGAGAGAGAGAGAGCATGTGCGCTTGCACATGAGGCAAGGGGAAGGGCAGAAGGAGAGGGAGAGAGAGAGAATCCTAAGCAGGCTCCATGACCAGCATGGAGCCTGTTATGGGGCTCAATCTCATGACCCTGAGATCATGACCTGAGCCAAAATCAAGAGTCAGATGCTTAACCAACTGATCCACACAGGTGCCCAGATCTAATAGTTTTTTGGTTTAGTCTCTAGGGTTTTCTGTATATAAAATAAATCATGTCATCTGCAAATAGAGGTAATTTTGCTTCTTCCTTTTTAATTCTGATAGTTTTAATTTCTTTTTCATGCCTGATTACTTTAGCTGGATGTTTAGTACTATGTTGAACAGGGGCGATGAGAGTGGGCACCTTTGTCTTGTTACTGATCTTAGAGAAAAAGTTTTCAACATTTCACCAGTGAGTTTGATGATAGCTGTGGACTTGTCATCAATGGCCTTTGTTATGTTGAGATAAGTTCCATCTATGCGTAATTTTTAAGTTATTATCATGAATGGATGTTGACTTTTGACCTTGATTCTTTTACAGAGTTACAATATATTACTCCCTTGGACAAATGCTGTAAACCCTTATAGATCTTTAATATTTACTGGGGAAATATGTCCTCTTTTGCATGTATGCTATCAACACCCATTTTAAATAGTCTGTTTGGAAAGTATCTAATTTTTGATGGCAAAATCTAATCCCACCATCCTGATGAGTGTCATGAGGTCTGATCTCCTCTTCCAAGGCCTCTTCCCTTGATGACTTGAAGGAAATTCTCAGAGGATTTTTGGATTATATTTATAAAAGAAGGAAACGTTGATGTGTTAAGGGTGTGGTAGTCAATGCCTTAAGCCAGTAAACACTCACCATCTGCCTTTCTGCAGAGAAAGTTTTGCAAAAAGAGCCCTTTTTTTTTGTTTTTTATTGCAAGTCTGGGGTTTTATATTTCCACATTAGTCTCCACCTGCCATTTCCAGGCAGATGCTTTTCTGAGCTTTGAGCATGAAAAGTCTTGAATAAAGAATTAAACGTAAGGATCCGACTTACTGGCATTTTTATTGAGACTGCACAATGGGAACATACATTGGCCCCCACTCTATTCTCATTTTCCCCACAGATAAAATGAAGGATGTAGATATGGAGGCCGGAGCAGGGTTACAATGAAAGAAGAGAAGGAAGCTGGGTGTGGTGGGAATTTGTAAGAAGGGAAAGTGACAGAGAAAGGGTGGGGAGACAGAACTGCTGAGACTAAAGCTCCTGCTCCTTTTCCACATGCAGAGTCAGGCATTCAAGAGGAAACTGATTTGTTTGGAAGGTAATACACCACCTACATCTGGCAGGAAACCAGACCCAGACTAGGTGGTGTGGGCCTGTTCTACTTGCTGTCCTACCATGGTAAATTGATTGTCCCATCAGTGTGAAACCTAATCTTGCAGCTCTTGTTCTCACTTCCCATCACAGACCATCGGCCTCCTGGGAAGTACCTAGTCCATCTCTGCAGGTGTCTTACTTATCCATTCAGTTACTATGTAGTTTTTACTCTGTCTTCCTCTCCTCTGGTTCCACTCAGGGCTGTGTGAAGAAGCTCAGCCATGGCTTCTTTTATTTATTTATTTATTTATTTATTTATTTATTTATTTATTTATTTATTTAATGTTATGGTAGTCACAATACAGTACTTCATTAGTTTTTGATGTAGTGTTCCATGATTCATTGTTTGCATATAACACTCACTGCTCATTGCAATATGTGCCCTCCTTAATCCCCATCACTGGACTAACCCATCCCTTCACTCCCCTCTCCTCTGAAACGCTCAGTTTGTTTCCTGGAGTCCATAGTCTCTCATGGTTTGTCTCCCCCTAGATTTCCCCCCCTTTATTTTTCCCTTCCTTCTCCTGATGTCCTCCATGCTATTCCTTATAAGTGAAACCATATGATAATTGTCTTCCTCTGCTTGACTTATTTCACTTAGCATAATCCCCTCCAGTTCCATCCATGTCAATGCAAATGGTAGGTATTCATCCTATCTGATGGCTGAATAATATTCCATTGTATATATGAACCACATCTTCTTTTTTAAAAATTTTTTATTGTTATGTTAATCACCATACCTTACGTCATTAGTTTTAGATATAGTGTTCCATGATTCATTGTTTGTGCATAACACCCAGTGCTCCATACAGAACGTGCCCTCTTTAATACCCATCACCAGGCTAACCCATCCTCCCACCCCCCTCCCCTCTAGAACCCTCAGTTTGTTTTTCAGAGTCCATCGTCTCATGGTTCATCTCCCCCTCCGATTCCCCCCCCTTCATTCTTCCCCTCCTACTATCTTCTTCTTCTTCTTTTTTTTTTTTTAACATATATTGCATTATTTGTTTCAGAGGTACAGATCTGAGATTCAACAGTCTTGCACAATTCACAGCGCTTACCAGAGCACATACCCTCCCCAATGTCTATCACCCAGTCACCCCATTCCTCCCACCCCAACCCCCACTCCAGCAACCCTCAGTTTGTTTCCTGAGATTAAGAATTCCTCAAATCAGTGAGGTCATATGATACATGTCTTTCTCTGTTTGACTTATTTCACTCAGCATAATACCCTCCAGTTCCATCCACATCGTTGCAAATGGCAAGATCTCATTCCTTTTGATGGCTGCATAATATTCCATTGTATATATATACCACATCTTCTTTATCCATTCATCTGTCAATGGACATCTTGGCTCTTTCCACAGTTTGGCTATTGTGGACATTGCTGCTATAAACATTAGGGTGCACGTACCCCTTCGGATCCCTACATTTGTATCTTTGGGGTAAATACCCAGTAGTGCAATTGCTGGATCATATGGTAGCTCTATTTTCAACTTTTTGTGGAACCTCCATGCTGTTTTCCAGAGTGGCTGCACCAGCTTGCATTCCCACCAGCAGTGTAGGAGGTGAACCACATCTTCTTTATCCATTCATCTGTCGATGGACATCTTGGCTCCTTCCACAATTTGGCTATTGTGGACATTGCTGCTATAAACAGTGGGGTGCAGGTGACCCTTCATTTCACTACATCTGTATCTTTAGGGTAATTGCTGGGTTGTAGGATAGCTCTATTTTTAACATCTTGAGGAACCTCCATACCATTTTCCAGAATTGCTGTACCAACTTGCATTCCCAACAGTATAAGAGGGTTCCTCTTTCTCCACATCTTTGCCAAAATTTGTTGTTTCCTGTCTTGTTACTTTTAGCCATTCTGACTGGTGTAAGGTGGTATCTCATTGTGGTTTTGATTTGTATTTCCTTCATGTCAAGTGATGTGGATGGAGCATTTTTTCATGTGTCTGTTGGCCATTTGTATGTCTTCTTGGAGGGAATGTCTGCTCATGTCTTCTGTCCATTTCTTGACTGGTTTATTTGTTTTTTGGGTGTTGAGTTTGATAAGTTCTTTATAGATCTTGGATACCAGCCCTTTACCTGATATGTCATTTGCAAATATCTTCTCCCATTCTGTAGGTTGCCTTTTAGATTTGACTGTTTCCTTTGCTGTGCAGAGGTTTTTATCTTGATGAAATCCCAATAGTTCATTTTTGCTTTTGTTTCCCTTGCCTTTAGAGACATGTCTTGCAAGAAGTTGCTGCAGCTGAGGTCGAAGAGGTGGCTGCTGTGTTCTCCTATAGGATTTTGATGGATTCCTGTCTCACATTGAGGTCTTTCATCCATTTTGAGTTTATCTTTGTGTATGGTGTAAGAGAATGGTCCAGTTTCATTCTTCTGCATGCGGCTGTCCAATTTTCCCAGCACCATTTATTGAAGAGACTCTCTTTTTTTCCATTGGATATTCTTTCCTGCTTTGTCAAAGATTATTTGACCATAGAGTTGAGGGTCCATTTCTGGGCTCTCTATTCTGTTCCATTGATCTATGTGTCTGTTTTTGTGAGAGTACCATGCTGTCTTGATGATCACAGCTTTCTAACAGAGCTTGAAGTCAGGCATTGTGATGCCCCCAGCTTTGGTTTTCTTTTTCAACATTCCTTTGGCTATTCGGGGTCTTTTCTGGTTCCATACAAATTTTAGGATTGTTTGTTCCAGCTCTGTGAAAAATGTTGATGGTATTTTGATAGGGCTTGTATTGAATGTGTAGATTGCTCTGGGTAGCATAGACACTTTAACAATATTTATTCTTCCAATCCATGAGCATGGAATATTTTTCCATCTCTGTGTCTCCCTCAATTTCTTTCATAAGTGTTCTGTACTTTTTAGGCTACAGATCCTTTACCTCTTTGGTTAAATTTATTCTGAGGTATCTTATGGTTTTTGGTGCAATTGTAAATGGGATTGATTCCTTAATTTCACTTTCTTCTGTCTCATTGTTAGTGTATAGAAATGCCACTGATTTCTGTGCATTGATTCTGTATCTTGCCATGTTGCTGAATTGCTGTATGAGTTCTAGAAATTTTGGGGTGGAGTCTTTTGGGTTTTCCCATAGAGTATCATGTCATCTGTGAAGAGTGAGAGTTTGACTTCTTTGCTGATTTGCATGCCTTTTATTTCTTTTTGTTGTCTGATTGCTGAGGCTAGGACTTCTAGTACTATGTTGAACAGCAGTGGTCATAGTGGACATCCCTGTCGTGTTCCTGACCTTAGGGGAAAAGCTCTCAGTTTTTCCTCATTGAGAATGATATTAGCTGTGGGCTTTTCATAGATGGCTTTTATGATATTGAGGTATGTTCCCTCTATCCCTACACTGTGAAGAGTTTTAGTCAAGAAAGGGTGCTGTATTTTGTCAAATGCTTTTTTCCCCATCAGTTAAGAGGATAATATGGTTCTTGTTCTTTCTTTTATTAATATATTGTATCACACTGATTGATTTACAGATGTTGAACCAACCTTGCAGCCCAAGAATAAATCCCAGTTGGTCATGGTGAATAATCCTTTTAATGTACTGTTGGATCCTATTGGCCAGTATTTTGGTGAGAGTTTTTGCATCCATGTTCATCAGGGATATTGGTCTGTGATTCTTGTTTTTGATGGGGTCTTTGTCTGGTTTTGGGATCAGGGTAATGCTGGCCTCATCAAATGAGTTTGGAAGTTTTCCTTCCATTTTTTTTTTTTAAAGATTTTGTTTATTTATTTGACAGAGAGAGAACACAAGCAGGGGGAGTGGGAGAGGGAGAAGCGGGCTTCCTGTGGAGCAGGGAGCCCAATGCAGGGCTCAATCCCAGGACCCTGGGATCATGACCTGAGCTGAAGGCAGGCGCTTAACAACTGGGCCACCCAGGCGCCACCCCATTTCTATTTTTTGGAACAGTTTCAGAAGAATAGGTATTAATTCTTTCAATGTTTGGTAGAATTCCCCTGGGAAGCCATCTGGCCCTGGGCTCTTGTTTGTTGGGAGATTTTTGATTACTGCTTCAATTTCCTTGCTGGTTATTGGTCTGTTCAGATTTTCTATTTCTTCCTATTTCAGTTTTGGTAGTTCGTAAGTTTCTAGGAATGTATCCATTTCTTCCAGATTGCCTAATTTGTTGGCATATAATTGCTCATAATATGTTCTTAAAATTGTTTGTATTTCCTTGGTGTTGGTCGTGATCTCTCCTCTTTCATTCACGATTTTATTAATTTGGGTCCTTTCTCTTTTCTTTTTGATAAGTCTGGCTAGGGGTTTATCGATCTTATTAATTCTTTCAAAGAACCAGCTTCTAGTTTCATTGATCTGTTCTACTGTTCTTCTGGTTTCTATTTCATTGATTTCTGCTCTAATCTTTATTATTTCTCTTCTCCTGCTTGGTTTAGGCTTTATTTGCTGTTCTTTCTCCAGCTCCTTTAGGTGTAAGGTTAGCTAATGTATTTGAGATTTTCCTAATTGTTTGAGAAAGGCTTGTATTGCAATGTACTTACCTCCTAGGATCGCCTTTGCTGTATCTCAAAGGTTTTGAACAGTTGTGTTTTCATTCTCATTTGTTTCCATGAATTTTTTAAATTCTTCTTTAATTGCCTGGTTGACCCAGTCCCTCTTTAGTAGGATGCTCTTTAACCTCCAAGTGTTTGCATTCCTTCAAAATTTCCTCATGTGATTGAGTTCAAGTTCCAAAGCACTGTGGTCAGAAAATATGCAGGGAAAAATCCCAGTCTTTTGGTATTGGTTGAGACCTGACTTGTGACCCAGTATGTGATCTATTCTGGAGAATGTTCCATGTGCACTTGAGAAGAATGTGTATTCTGTTGTTTTAGGATGCAGTGCTCTGCATATATCTGTGAAGTCCATCTGGTCCAGTGTGTCATTCAAAACCCTTGTTTCCTTGATGATCTTCTGCTTAGATGATCTGTCCATTGCTGTGAGTGGGGTGTTGAAGTCCCCTGCTATTAATGTATTATTATCAATGTGTTTCTTTAGTTTGGTTATTAATTGGTTTATATAATTGGCTGTTCCCAAGTTAGGAGCATAAATATTCATAATTGTTAGATCTTCTTGTTGGATAGACCCTTTAAGTATGATATAGTGTTCCTCTTCATCTCTTACTAGAGTGTTTGGTTTAAAATCTAATTTGTCTAATATGAGGATTGCTACCCCAGCTTTATTTTGAGGTCCATTACCATGGTAAATTGTTCTCCACCCCTGCACTTTCAGTCTGGTGGTGTCTTTAGGTCTAAAATGAGTATCTTGTAGACAGCATACGGATGGGTCTTGCCTTTTTATCCAATTTAACACCCTGTGTCTTTTGATTGGAACATTTAGCCCATTTACATTCAGGGTAACTTTTGAAAGATATGAATTTAGTGCCATTGTATTACCTGTATAGTCCCTGTTTCTGTAGATTGTCTCTGTTTCTTTCTGGCCTATGTTACTCTTGGGGTCTCTCTGCTTACCGGATCCCCCTTAATAATTCTTGCAGGGCTGGCTTGGTGGTCACATATTCTTTCAGTTTCTGTCTGTCCTGGAAGCTCTTTATCTCTCCTTCCATTCTGAAAGACAGCCTTGCTGGATAAAGTATTCTTGGCTGCATGTTTTTCTCATTTAGTACCCTGAATATTTCATATCAGCCCTTTCTGACCTGCCAGGTCTTTGTGGATAGGTCTGATGTTAGTTTGATGTTCCTACCTCTGTAGGTTAGGAACCTCTTCTCTTGACCTGTTTTCAGGATTTTGTCTTTATCTCTGAAATTTGCAAGCTTCACTATTATATGTTGGGGTCTTGATCTGTTTTTATTGATTTTGGGAGGGGTCCTCTCTATCTCTTGGACATGAATGCCTGTTTCCTTCCCCAGATTAGGGAAGTTTTCAGGTATGATTTGCTCAAATATACCTTCTGGCCCTCTCTCTCTTCACCCTCAGGCACCCCAATAATTCTGAAGTTGGTTTGTTTTATGGCATCACTGATTTCTTGAAGCCTCTCCTCATGGGCTATTAATTGTTTTTCTCTCTTTTCCTCAACTTCCTCCCTTTCCATCAACCTGTCTTCTATGTCACTGACTCTCTCTTCTGCCTCATTTACCCTAGCTGTTAGAGCATCTCAGTTAGAACATTTTTAATTTTGGACTGATTAGATCTCATTTCTGCACTAAGAGATTCTCTAGTGGATTTTATGCTTTTTTCAAGCCCAGCTATTAACTTTATAATTGTTATCCTGACTACCATCTCTGACATCATACTTATATCCATATCAATTAGATCTGTGTCAGAGAGCATTACCTCTGGTTCTTTCTTTTGTTGTAAATTCTTCGTTCTAGTCATTTTGCACCCAGAGAAGAATGGCTGAACAAGTGAGCAGAATCAAAAATATCAACTACAACCCAAGAAAAATACGCACTAGACAAATCTGAAGAGGTCAGAAACCAAAACAGAAAAGCAAAAAAACAAAACAGAACAAAAAAAGGGTGAGGGAGAGAATATAATCTCACAAGGTGGACAAAACAAGGTGATCCACTTGTTCCTGAGTGTATTTTGGCCTGTGTGTTAGAAGACACTAAATCCCAAAATTGCAAAGAAAGCAAAATTTATATATATATACAAAAATAAAATTGAATAGAGTGAAAGGAGGCCAAAAATGAAGAGTATATCTATAAAATAAATATAAAAAATGAAAATTAAAAAAATGACTTAAAAACAGAGTTGATAAAAAAAGAAACTAGTTGGAAAGGGAAAAAAGAAAAAGAAGAAGTGGAAAATTTTAAACTGAAAGATGAATGAATCATGAGAAAAAACCATGAATTCTTTATACTATTTTCCTCTAGTACTGGAGTTTTACAGTCTAGTGAGATCCATAAACTTGCTGTACACTTGTTCTTCCAGTTGGTCTTCTGGGGGAGGGGCCTGCTGAGCTGCTTCTCAAGTGTCTTTGCCTGGGCTGAGTTGCATCGCCCCTTGCCAGGGGGCTGGGCTCAGTGTACGCTGGTCCTCTGTGTGGCTCTTGTTCCCTGAAGGCTTTCCATTGCCTCTTTAGAGGATCAAAATAAAAATGGCCATGCCCTGATCTCCAACCCCAGAGCCAAAAGATCACTGTCCCCTCTCTTTAGTAAACCCTCTGGGATAAACAGTCTTCACTTTAGTGTGTGTCAAAATCTGCAGACTCCTGTGGTTCGTGCCCACAGCAATCCTCCTGGGGGAAGTAGGATGGTTCTGTGTTACTGCCTTTTGTAGGGCCCTGGCACTGAGAGCAGTAGCTGGATTGTGCACACACCCGCTCTGCCCCTCCCAAGGGAAGGTGGAGGGTTGCCTTGTACTGTCTTCTACAGGGCCACTGCCCTGAGAGCTATTGCCCATTTGTGCATGCACCTGTTCTGCCCCTCCTAGGGGATGGTAGAGGCTCCCCATGTTCCAGTCTGCTGCTGGATGCCCAGGCAGAGAGCAGTCACCTGATCTGGCCCAGCTCCCAGTTTATGGCAAACTGAGCTGAGAGGCCCCTGCTGGGCTTGCTGACTGTAAACAGTTTCCCTGTTCCACTGCTTGGGAACTCTACTGGCTCAGGCATCCCTGTTAGTGCTGTCACTCCTGGGATCCTGAGACCACACTGACCCACCTAGAATTCTGCCCGTTTCATCCCCTGAGCACCTTTCAGGCAGGGATGTCTCTCACTGGAGCAGATTTCTAAGAGTTCAGATTTTGCCCTTCAGGGCTCTATCACTTTCTGGTAGCTGGCTTACAGAGGCTCCCTCCCCCCTCCATTTATCTTCCAATATCTCCCCTCAGATTCACTTCTCCACACCTCCTACCTTGAAAAAAGTGGTTGCTTTTCTACTTGTAGAGTTCCAGATATTTTTTTTCTTACATCTCAGGTTGAATTCATGGATATTCAGAATGGTTTGATAGTTATCTAGCTAAATTCAAGGGACCAGATGAAACGAGGTCCCCCACTCTTCCGCCATCTTTCCTCCTCCCTGTATGTGTGGAAGTATATCAAGCTTTTCCTTTTTAACATTTGTTCCCTTTGCTTTCTCCCCTCCCCACACACATTATTATTTTTCTGAACCATTTGAGAGTGTGCTGTTCATATCATGTGCTTTTACTCTTAAATACTTCAGTGTGAATTTCCTAAGAATAAGATTAGTCTCTGTATCACAGTACAATGATCCAAATCAGGAAATTTAACATTGATATAATCCACAATCCATATTCATTTGTGCCAGTTGTCCTGCTAAAGTCGATCATGGCTATTTTTTCCCCAACCCAGGATCCAATCTAGGATCACAGTTTGTGTTTTGTTGTCATGCCACCTTAGTCTCTTTTAACTTGGACCTGCTCCTTAGCTTTTCTTTGTCTTTCATGACCTTGACATTTTTGAAGGGTACAGACCAGTTGTTTTGAAGGACGTCTCTCAGTTTGGGTTTGTCTGATGTGTCCTTATGGTTACTGTCAGATGATGCATTTCTGATGAGAACACCACCAAAATGATTCTGTGTCCTTCCTGGTGCATCATATCAGGAGGCACAGGATGCTGATTTGTCCATTATCACTGATGTTTGATTTGATCACTGGCTTAAGGTGGTGTCTGTCAGGTTTTTCTGTCGTTTATTTTTTCTTTGTAATTAGTAAATAATTTGGGGGAAGATATTTTGAGACCATGTAAATATCTTGCTCCTCATCAAACATTCACCGAGAGGTATAGCATCCATAGAAATAAGCGTTTTAAAGATTCAACAGGCAAGCACACTTAGCATTTGGAAAAGAAGAAAGGAGGGCAGTGACAACTCTCCCATCTTTTTTTTTTTTTAATTTAAATTCAATTGGCCAACTTTTAGTATACCATCAGTTTCAGATGTAGTGTTTAATAATTTATCAGTTGCATATAACACCCAGTGCTCATCATATCATGTGCCCTCCTTAATGCCTATCACCAATTACCCCACCCCCCACCCACCTCCCCTCCAGGAACCCTCAGTTTTTTTCCTATAGTCTCTCATGGTTTTTCTTCCTCTTTGATGACTTCCCATTCTGCTTTCCTTCCCTTCCTCTGGTCCTCTGCACTGTTTCTTATATTCCGCATATGAGTGAAACCATATGATAATTGTCTTTCTCTGATTGACTTATTTTGCTCAGCATAATACCCTCCATTTCCATCCATGTCGATGTAAATGATAAGATTTCACCCTTTCTGATGGCTGAGTAATATTCCATTGTATATATAGGCCACATCTTCTTTATCTGTTTATCCGTCGATGGACATCTGGGCTCTTTCCACAGTTTGGCTATTGTGGACATTGCTGCTATAAACAGTGGGGTGCAGGTGACCCTTCATTTCACTACATCTGTATCTTTAGGGTAATTGCTGTGTTGTAGGGTACCTCTACTTTTAACTTCTTGAGGAACTTCCATACCATTTTCCAGAGTGGCTGTACCAACTTACATTCCCACCAACAGTGTAAGAGGGTTCCCCTTTCTCCACATCTTTGCCAACATTTGTTGTTTCCTGTCTTGTTACTTTTAGCCATTCTGACTGGTGTAAGATGGTATCTTATTGTGGTTTTGATTTGTATTTCCTTCATGTCAAGTGATGTGGATGGAACATTTTTTCTTGTGTCTGTTGGCCATTTGTATGTCTTCTTGGGGGGAATATCTGCTCATGTCTTCTGTCCATTTCTTGACTGGTTTATTTGTTTTTTGGGTGTTGAGTTTGAT